CCCCACTATAGCCTACACAAAAGCATAAGCTATAATCTTCTGACACCGCCGCCTCCGCTCCCTCCGCCACCGCCGCCGCCTCCTCCGCCTCCACTGCTGCCACCGACACCTCCACCCCCGCCACCACTCCCACCACCACCCCCACCCCCTCCACTGCCGCTACCACCACCTCCACCGCCCCCGCCAGCCCCTCTAGCGCCCTTGCCCCCCTTGCCCTTGCCGGTGCGGCGTCTCCCGCTAGGGGCAGATGCAGCGCCGACCGACTCAAAACCAACGAGGTCGGCCGCAGCAGTAGAAGCAACAAAGGGCAAGAGGGGGGAGGGGGAACACCCCTCAAAGACGGGGGTGCGAGGGTCACCACGAGAGGCTCCTACAGCGACTATGCTCTTCTCTGCTGCTAGGAGGCGCTCCTCGAGGAGGTCAACGGTGAGTGTGGTGGGGCAAACTGAGAGGAAGTGGTCCCTGACTAAGCGAAGGGAGTCAGGGAGCCGGGTGACTATGTAGTAGAGGGTGATGTACATGGGGGGGGGGGGGGGGGTTCTTGGCACAGAACTCAGCAGGAAGCGAAGCGCGGTAGCGAGTGTCACTAGTGCGAAGGTGCGTAATGAGGTCAGCGACTGTGGGAAAGGCAGCAAGGTCAGGGAACAGGTACGGCAGCATGAGGCGGCTAAGCGCAGCAGTGGCAGGGGAGGAGTAGCGTGCAACTACAGCGTCGTACAAGGTCTTAGGACTCTTGTACTGGCTAAAGTGCGCACGCTCAGTGGTTGGTAAGTGGCGACGCACAGCAAGACGGGTAGCAGCATCGCGTGTGGCCCACTGTGAGCGAACAGTGCTGTCAGCAGTAGCAGGCGGGGCAGGAGAGGCACCAGAGGTGAGATCGAACACGGAGAGTCCGTCTGCCCTATCGCACTGTAGGAACAACTGGAGGTCATCGACCCAGACCTCAAAGTCAACAGCACGACCCTCAGCATCAAAGGTAAGGACACTGGGGGTAGCCATGACTGCAGTGGCCTAGCAGGGAGTGATCTGACCAGTCCGAGTAAGTAGGGCCGGGGCGCCCCGGTAGGAACAGTAGCGGCTCGACGGTAGGGCGGCTCGGCTGCTGGGCGGCTCGGCGGCTCGGTTGCAGGGCGGCTCGGCGGCTCGGCTGCTGGGCGGCTCGGCGGCTCGGCTATTGGGCGGCTCGGCTGCTGGGCGGCTCGGCGGCTCGGTTGCTGGGCGGCTCGGCGGCTCGGCTGCTGGGCGGCTCGGCGGCTCGGCTGTTGGGCGGCTCGGCTGCTGGGTGGTTCGGCTGCTCAGCTGTTGGGCGGCTCAGCGGTGAAGGGGCCGGTAGAGGCGGCGACGGGGCCGGTAGAGGCGGCGACGGGGCCGGTAGAGGCGGCGATGGGGCCGCCAGGGGCGGCGACGGTGCCGCTAAGGGCGGCGAGGTGGCCGCGAAGGGGCGGCGACGGGGCCGCTAGGGGCGGCGACAGGGCCGCAGAGAGGTCGCAAGGGGCCTAGAGGGGCGGCGACGAGGCCGTGAAGGGGGCGTAAGGGGCCTAGAGGGGGCGGCGACGGGGCCGCAAGTGGCGGCGATGGGGCCGCGAAGGGGCCGCGAGGGGCCTATAGGGGCGGCGACGGGGCCTAGAGCGTCGGCGACGGGGCCGTGAAGGGGCCGCGAGGGGCCTAGAGCGGCGGCGACGGGGCCGTGAAGGGACCACGAGGGGCCTAGAGGTGGGTACAAGTAGGAAAACCTAGAAATATTGTACCCCATATAGCCTACCCCACTACAGCCTACACAGACTATAGCATATAAGTTTGACACATTGCAGCTGCAAGGCACCTACCACTCCGCCAGATCGATGTGAAGAACGCGTTCCTTTACACGTTAGTGGACACCGTGATCTACGTGGAGCAGCTGCACACCTACGGCGAAGGGGACTCGCGCGTGTGCCAACTGCGCAAGTCACTCTACGGGATCAAACAGGCTCCGAGGCTGTGGCAGCAGTATCTGCACAACATCCTGCTTGAAATTGGATTCAAGCAGATGCCGCACGATCCAGGGATGTATCGCCGCGAATTCCGCAGGGAATACATTCTCCTCACGGTGTACGTCGACGACCTGCTTTACACAGGCTCAAACAACGAGCTTCTCGAGCAGTTCGAGAAGGCCTTGGCGGGGCGCGTCGACATCACGTGCAACTACGAGGTGAAGCAGTTTCTAGGCCTCAACATCTCCTACGCGCCTGAGGCCATTCATCTCTCAGCGGCTAAGTACGCAGAGGAGTTAGGGAAGCGGTTCAACATTTCACCTGCACCTCTCTCAACTCCCTACCGAACTCCCGGACCGAACCACAAACCCGACAACAAACCCCTATCCCCTGCTGGGATTCAGACTTACCAGCAGCAGTTGGGATGCCTCCTCTTCGCCTCTGTCACCTGCAGGCCAGACCTCTCGTACATCGCCAGTCAGTTGGCGCAGTACTCACGAAAACCAACGACTGAGAATCTTCTGGATCTGCAGCGCGCCCTTCAGTTCTTCGTTTCAACGCCCAAGATTGGGCTGTGCTACTCAACTGCACCAACTCCATCCTTCAACCTCATCGGCTATGTGGACGCCGATCACGCAGCAGACCCCGATAATCGACGGTCCAGGACTAGCTTCCTGTTCCGACTCGAGCCAACGGGACCAATCTCCTGGAACTCGCAGAAGCAGGAGCTGGTTGCCCTGTCGTCAGCCGAAGCGGAATTCATCGCAGCAACCGCAGCAGTTCGCGAAGGCCTCTACTTGCAGGAACTCCTTCAAGAGGCGAAAATTCCAGCTTCACCCACATTTCGCCTTCACTGCGACAACCAGAGCGCGATTCGCATCGCGAACAAACCTGGTTTCGTCAACCGCACCAAGCACATTGCGCTGCGGTACTTCTTCGTGAAGGATGAGGTGGACAAGGGCAAGGTCAACTTGACCTACTGCCCGACCGATGACATGGCAGCAGACTTCCTCACGAACCGACTGTCACGTCAGCAGTATCAGCACTGCTCCGAACTCAGCGGCGTGGTCAAGCAGGTCAAGTCGAGCTACGGCCAGGAGTGAAGGGGGGTGTTACGAATAGTAATACTTGAATATTACTGTGCACTCCTCACGGCAGCAAAGAGAAGCACGCAGTATCGCGAATGAACGCGAAGCGTCAGACGGTTGGAATCGACTCGAAGCGTCAGACGGTTGGGACGTATTTGGACCGTCGGAGCAGACAGCATCAGGCAGCTGCAAGCAGGATGGTTTCGGCGGGAACAGTTTCATAACCGTTCGCGCCGCACGGTTGGGAGCAGGCCCTCTGATTGGTTTGAGGGTATGCTGATGGATCAGCGTGCCCTGGCCAACGAGGTGTCCAAATCAGCGTTCACGGTTTTTTTTTTATACTGATTTTGCCAGTGTAAAAATCATAAGTATACTGAACCAACAGTGTAATAACAAAAAACTATAGCTGAAACCCCAGTACAAGGTGTGTGGTGTTGTTGCTGTGATAGGTTCCAGCGAGGCTAAACACTTCGGCGCGCACCTGATATCTGTGCAGTGCATGCGAAAAAATGCCAAGTCTGTGGGTGTGGTCTCAGGAATCACGGGAAGGTACAGATTGTAGACGCGTACCCTATCACCCCCCCCCCTCCCACACGCGGTCAACTCCGTTTAAGTGTGACTCACGTCACTATACTGATTCGTCAGTGTTACTTGTAAAGAAAGACGCAAAATGGTCAGTGTGACAAGGTAGGATATACTGAAATGTCAGTGCAAAATTGAAGCATATGCTGAATTTTCAGGGAAAACGAAAATCGCAGCTACAAAATCAGCGTAATCAGCGTGTTTTACGCTGATATCTGAGGGCCTGGTTGGGAATGTATTTGAATAAGGGAATGTACCCCTTAGAGTACATGGCTAGCTAGGTCGTTTCATCTCCTCTGTACTCATATTTATATTTGCTGTATTTGCATGTTTTAAATCATCTCAAAGCATCTTACATTCACTCTGCTATTGAGGTCAAGGGCCCACCAACATCACTTCTCTGCGTGCGAACCTTCCTGAGTAGATCCTAGGCCACGATCAACTTCTGATCGCAGCATTATCAAACATGTGAAAACACCCTTTGCAGTGACCGTACCTGTTATTTTTTCACCAAACATATTACAAGACCCTTGTTGATTACGGCGTATTGCAATTTGCGGTGCACTGCATCGGTTCGGCTCGAGGCACGGGTTTCTGAAGGCTCCAGGAAAGCAAGAGGCCGTAAAAAGATTTCTGAATACAATCTATGTCCTAATATAACTTTAGACAATAACTCTTTGAATCATTATCTTGAATAATTCCTGAATTAGTGCCCGTATTTGGCCTCCCGCCTGCCTGGAGCCTTCCAAACGTCCCAAGCCGACGCAGTGCACTGGCAATTGCAACACGCCGTTACAAGTTGCATATTTTCCCAACAAGTACTGTATTCTTCCCGAAAGCAGGTGTGATAAATGAAGCCTGCAAAATTGTACTTGCCAGCAGATCTCAAGGGAGGAGGAATTCAAAGGTCCGAATTTTGTACCGTTTCAAGTTTTACTACGACAGCTGTTCTTGAGTTGGGGAGTTTCCAGGCTCCGCTGTTGTCCAATAGCTTTCTCGCGTGGCCAGCAATTGTGCGACGAAAGCTTCTCTCTTTGCAACCGTGCAGCGCACTTCTATTCGCCCGGCTGTGTCGCCACACCATGGCGACGTCGCGAATCACGCGCGACCTGGTGGGTGCTCCGGGGATTGTTTCCGCGTGTCCGCGTGTGAGCACCTCGCGGGAGAATTTTCACCGGAATAACCCACTTTAACGCTCCTTTCTCAACCCGCCCCTCTGCTCCTCCCCGCCCTCCCCCCCCCCCCCCCCCCCCCCCCCCCCCCCCGGCCGGCTTCTCTCGACGCTCCGCCGTCTTTCCTCATTCGCCCTTCCCCGCGCGGCTCTGCTGCTCATCCGCCGCTCTCCGCTTGTATTCCCGCTATGGCCATGCTCTCTCCCGCATTCTGCACTACCCTCTCTCCCTCGCCGCCCCGCACCCGCTCACTTCCCCCGTCCTCTCCCCCCAATCCTCCCCGCGCGCAGATGGCGGTGACGGCGGACAGGGCGCGCGAGGAGGGCGTGGACACGGGCAAAAGCGGCGACGGGGGAGGGGGGGCGGCAGGAGGGCGGACGTGCCTGGTGCAGGGGTACCTGCTGAAGCGGTCAGAAACGGTGCGAGGCGGTGCTGGGGGGGAGTTGGGATGGGGGGGTTGGGAAGGGAGAGATGGCGATGCAAGGACGGAAGGGGTGTGATGGGCGGGTAGCGGGAGGGAGGGCAGGGACGGCGGGTGCATGCATGGCATGACACTGTTCGTCTCTGCGCATATGCCGCCCATGGGGCTCAACCCTTGCCCACACCCCCCTCCCCATTCCCGCTCTCCCGCCGCGCCCCCCTTTCCCCCCTCTCTCCGCCATTGCATCCCGTAGCTGTGGCTGCGAGCGCCTCACCTGTGTGCGCCATGTTGCCCTACCGTGCCACCCTGGTCGCCGTGACCTCTCTGCACCCCCCCGCAGCTGCACCTGTGGAACCAGCGCTGGTTCGTGCTGGACCCCACCACTGCGCGCATGGAGTACCGGTGAGGGGCGCACACGCGCAAGGGGGCTTGCAGGACTAGAGAGGGACGGGTGGGAGGGAGTGGGATGGTTGGGAGGGGTGGTACGCATGAGTGCGGAAGCGCCACACGGATTGTTTGCATTCTCGAGACTCGTGTGCTCTCAGCGTCGCGTCTGCCTCCACCTCCCTCCCTCGCACCCCTCACAAGCTGCTCGAATCCCACTTGCAATCTACATTCCTCGCAGCCTCCCATCCCCTTAGCTACTCTCCCTCCCCCCTTCCCCCGCACCCCCCTCCTCTCCCCCCCCCCTCCCCCACTCTCCCTTCACTATGCCGCGCCCCTGGGCACGTGCGTGGGGCCAGCATGCAGCGCAGCGACGTGTACCCACGCGGGCATATCGTGTTCGACGCCGACAGCACCATCACCGTCTCGCCCCTCAACTTCCAGTGCGCTCCCATGCCCCCATGCCCCCATGGCCCCATGCCCCCATGGCCCCATGCCCCCCCATGGCCCCATGCCCCCATGCCCCCATGCCCCCATGGCCCCATGCCCCCATGCCCCCATGGCCCCATGCCCCCATGCCCCCATGGCCCCATGCCCCCATGGCCCCATGCCCCCATGCCCCCATGGCCCCATGCCCCCATGCCCCCATGCCCCCATGGCCCCATGCCCCCATGCCCCCATGCCCCCATGCTTCCAGCTGTAATCCGCTTATTGCTCATGTGCTCTTATTGTCCACATGCGTGTCACCTTGCTGCATACTCGGCTGCCTTCCATCGAACCATAGTATTGCACGCAACCCCATGGCACCCCACCTCATGCCTCGCCCTCCATCCCACATCACTCGTGTGCTGCAGTGGAGCCAAGCAATACGACGGCTGCTGCTTCTGTAAGCTCCTTCGCTCCCTTCCTCCCTCCCTCGCTCCCTCCCTTCCTCCCTCCCTCGCTCCCTCCCTTCCTCCCTCCCTCCCTCCCTCCCTCCCTCCCTCCCTCCCTCCCTCCCTCCCTCCCTCCCTCCTCCCTCTCCCTCCTCTCTCCCTCCTTCCCTCCCTCCCTCCCTCCCTCCCTCCTCCCTCCCTCCCTCCCTCCTTCCCTCCCTCCCTCCCTCCCTCCCTCCCTCCCTCCCTCCCTCCCTCCCTCACGCTCTCTCTTTCACACCCTCCCTTCCCGTCTGCTTTTCTCGCTACCTCTCTCCCACCCTCCATCCCTTCTTCTTCCTTTCCCCCCTCCTCCCTTGCTCCCACTACCCCGTGCTACCTGCATGCCCGCCGCGTGGTTGAGTGTTCCAGGCTTTCAGCCCAGGAACCACAGAATTTTGGCCCCTGTGTTATGCGCTGTACTGCGGCAAGCAAGCACGCATGAAGCAACAACATCAGGTGAAAAGTAAGAAGATCTTCTTCCTCTTCCTCTTGCTTGCTCCCACCGTACTCTCTCCCTCTCTGTGCCCCTCCCGGTTCCCCCCCTGTGTGGTGCGGGGGAGCATGGCAGACGTGGGCACGGCGGGCAAGAAGGAGTACTTCCTGTGCGCGGAGACGCCAGAGGCCGCCAGGGCGTGGGTCGTCACCATCAGGTGCCACCCCGCTCTCTGTGCCTCACCCACTCCGTCACGCCACCTCCTCTCTGCGCTGTGTGTGCCATGCCTATACACGCTCCACTACCACCTCATCCCTTGTGTCACCAAGTCAGCCACCTCCATGCTTTCCGTTCCATCCTCTTCCAAGCGTTTTCTTCCATCCTTTTTTGTAAACATCACAAAGGTCCGCTGAATGGTTCATTTTCCCTGCGCGTATGTGTGTATGCAATCCAGTTCATCTTTTGATTTCTCTTTCCTCTGAAAGTCTTGCGTTAAGCCACTTGTAGTGCCACTGCTTCCTTGTGAGGCTGTCTGCTGCGTCTCTTCATCCCCCCTCCATGCATTACCTTCCCCATTCCCTCTACTCATGCATCCCACTGCCCTGTGCCATGCCTGCACCTGCCCCCATGCATTGCATGTGTGTGGTGGGATGCAGGGCGGCAGCACAAGTGTTGAGGGCGCACCGAGCGGCCGTCAGTCTGCTGGGAACCGCCTCCGGCCCTGCTGTCTCCGGTGCGCTGCCCTCGCCTCCCTGCCTCCCTCTATGTCACTGCACCCACTCTTTCACCATGCCATAACTCCCACCACCTTGCTTCTCGCATCCCACCTTTTCTTTCAACACTGATTACGAATGTTACACTTCTCTTCTCTCTTGACCCCTTCCCCCTTCTCTCCCCCATCCCTTTCGTATCCCTCTCGCGCTGAACCTTTGCTCTCTCCCTGCAGGGGCAGTGGCAGCGGCAACGGCAGCAGCAGTGGAGGCGGCGGGGCAGGCGCAGAGGAACGTGGCGGTGGCGAATGAGAGGGCGCTGCAGCACGGCGCTGCCACCGCCTTCTTCTCCCTGGCTGCCCCCTCCCCCCTGCAAGCCGCCGCTCTCACTCCCACCAGTATCGCTGCTGCTGCTGCCGCCACCACCGCTGCTGCTGCTGCTGGCGCTGGCGCTAGTGGGAGTCCACATGCAGCTGTGGGGAATGGGCGTGGGGGTGGTGGCGGGGTGGAGGGCGGTGCTGTAGCACCCTCTGGGGACAGCGTGCACCTGCTCAAGGTGATTGCCCTCCACAGTGCAGAGATGCGCGCTTGGGAAGGTGCATGTTCATGTGAGGAAGGAACCCATGCGTTCCATGCATGCGTGGGGCCCGCTGCACCCGTCTCCCCCTCCTCTCGTTTGCTTCATCCATTCAGTTCTGGCTCTCTCTCTGTCCCCTCGCCCGACACTGCCTGCCTTCATGACCTGTTCACCACTCTGCACCCACCATGCGTGAGCAGGAGACGCTGCGGGTGAAGGACGAGGAGATCCATGCGCTCGCCGTGGCGCTGCGCGAGCGCGACTCCGCCATCGCTGACCTCACCCGTCGCCTCCAAGACGCTGCCGCCGCCGCTGATGCCGCCGCGGCAGCAGCAGCGCAGGCAGCAAGGGAGCGGAACGAGGTGCGCGCGGCTGCAGGCAAGCTGTGCGACGACCTGGAGGCGCGGTTTGAGCGGTCGGAGCAGCAGCAGGCGGGCAGCAAGGCGGGGCGCGTGGCAGCGGAACAGGAGGCGGAGCGGGCGCGGGCGCAGGTGGCGCAGCTGCAGGTGGCGCTGGCGGAGGCGATGGCACGCGGCGATAGGGAGGAGGCTGGCAGGCGGGCAGCAGAGGGGGAGATGCTGCAGTGGAAGGCCGAGGCAGAGAGGCAAGTGCACGGTGGGCAGTGCGTGTGTGGGTGGGAGGCTCGGGGGGGAGGGGAGGTGCGGGGCTGGTGAAACGGATGTGTGACGTGTTGCAGGGCATTACTGTGCATGCATGCTGCTGCATGCAATGACGGTTCATTCACTAGGTTGACCACAGCTGTGCTACTCTTGGTTGTTCCTCACCCCGCCGCACGCGTCCTCTCCTTGTGGTGTCCAGGCCCTTCTGAGGGCCTCATGATGCCTCCTTGTCACGCCACACTCACCCCCCTCGCAGTGTCTGTGCTCCGCCCGCCCTGTGTTTGTGGCCGTCACAGGTTGGTGAGTGCAGGGCTGGCATCACTCGCGCCCTCGTGTCCATCCGCCACGACCACTGCCACTGCAGCACGCACCCAAGCAGGCACAGAGCCTCCATCCGCTTGCGCACCTGCCACACCCGCGCCATGGCTGCCCTCCCTGCCACCTGTGTCTTATACCACAAGTGCATGCGCCGTGCCTGCCGAGGACCCGCACCCTGCCCCACTCACTGCCCTGCACACTCCACCCACCGTAACAGCTGTGCCTTTACTGCCAGTAGCAGCTGAAGCAGCGGCAGCGGCAGCAGGAGGAGGGGGAGCGGCTTTGTCTGATGCTCCAGCAACAGGTGATGGGAACTCTGACGCTGACACTGCTACACTTGCTGCTGCTGCTGTGGGCGAAGCAAGTGCAGCAGATGCTGCCGCGAAGGCATTTGGACATGTTAGCACCACTGATGCTGCTCTTGGTGTTGGCTCTACCAAGTATTGAAACCTGACCCACACAACCTTTGTAACAGTGTCTTCCTTTTCATACGGCTATCTTGGTCGAAGTGAATCTACCGTCATCGCCCAGATAGTAGACAGTGTTGAATAATAGACAGGGGTTGTCTAATATCCGGGGACCGGGTGTCTTTTATAAACAGGCTAGCCTTATTATAAGACACCTATTTGTGTGTACGAGTCAGGCCCAGGGCCCACGTTATTGTTGAAACACTAGGCAAGAATCAGAAACAGGAAAGAGTGATTTTCACTAGCATGCAGTTGAGTACATATAGCAAACCCTAGTTTGGGCTGTATTCGCTATAGAGTACCCCACTGCAGGCTACACAAACATCACATTCTGACACACCCCCATAGTCAAAGTGGGGTACAATCAACACAACAAGCAGGCAGAGCAGTAGTTCACAATTATAAGCAAAGCTAGAGGCTATCACAGAGGGCAAGTGAGGAGGAGGAGAAACTGTGGGGGCGAGAAGATGGGAGGCGACGGCTGAAGCTGCAGACACACGGGCAGCAGGAGTGCGCAGCACTGTCGCTACCAGGCTAAACCCAGACTACACGGCGACAGACGCAGCTGGCTCACTGTGCTCCCAGGAGTGCTCACACTGTAGCTACCGGGCGCAGAGCCTCGGACTACTCAGGCCACAGGGGGTCGTGGCTCTCTGGACTACCAGGAATGCTCACACTGTGACTACCGGGCGCAGAGCCCCGGACTACTCAGGCCACAGGGGGTCGTGGCTCCCTAGACTTCAGGCGCTGCGGACGACAAGTCGGCTACCTCCGGTCAACCTCCCCCAACTGTCCCACACCCGTGTCACACACCCCCTGCTGCACCTCTAGCATTGCTCAGACGCCACCCCCCTCGTACCACTCCAACGGCTCCAACACATCCACCCCCTCAGTGGTAGCTGCAGCAGTGGGAGACGGAGGAGGAGGAGGAGCAGGGGATAGCTCACACACCCGGCACCCCCATACTCTCCACCCCCACACTCGCCATCCCCAAACCCTAACACAGGCAGCAGCGGGGGGCGGTGCGCGGGCAGCAGCTCGGGGGATGGCGCGCGGCTCGGGCAGCAGCTGGACGGGCCGCGCACGGGCTTGGCGCGGGTCGTACGAGCCGCGCGCGGGCTGCCCGGGCCGCGCGCGGGCCTGGCGCAGCCTGTACGAGCCGCGCGCGGGCCTGACGCAGGCCGTACGGGTCGCGCGCGGGCTGTATGGGCCGCGCGCGGGCCTGGCGCAGCCCGTATGGGCCGCGCGCGGGCCTGGCGCAGGTCGCGCGGGCCGCGTTGGGCGACGGGGGGCGACGCGCGGGTCCCCGGGGGCTCCGCGACGGGCGACAGGGGGCGACGCGCGGGTCCCCGGGGCAGGAAACCGCCACGCGCCCCGAGCGCGCGGCGGGAAGAAAAAAATCGCCGCGCGCCCGTAGCGCGCGGCAGGAAGGAAAAATCAGGAAACTGCGCGCGCGCAGGGCGCACGATAGGCAAGATAGCAGCGGAAGCATCGGGTGGGACCACCCAGAGGATCGACCCAGGAGGGTCGACCTGCTCTGATAGCATGTTGAAACACTAGGCAAGAATCAAAAACAGGAAAGAGTGGTTTTCACTAGCATGCAGTTGAGTACATATAGCAAACCCTAGTTCGGGCTGTACTCGCTATAGAGTACCCCACTGCAGGCTACACAAACATCACATTCTGACAGTTATCAGTGTAAATCACCCTGATGCCCTAACTAGAAGGGTGATTTTTGGTAGTAACACTGATGCTGTTGGGTATTTTTTTCGGGACCTTGATTTACCCTAATGTGCCAGGTTTTAAGATTAAGGAACACTGTCGCCTCAGGGTTGCCGTTCCGCTAATTGAGGTTTACCCTGAAGCGCGTATCAGCGAACCCCCCCCCCCCCCCCCCGTCCCCTAACCACCCGACCCCGAAACCAGGATTTTCCCTTTGCCATGCCAACTGTCGAAAATGTAGATTTCGGCAGGACTTTACGTGTGTTGGAACGAGATGGGCCACCATTTGCCAGGAACAGGGTTTTGCGAATTGGTACACTGATGCCTCAGGGTAGTCTTTTTAATACATGCAATAACCCTGACGCATCAGGTTTTCCACAACGGGTAACCCTGAAAATCAGGTTTTTGAACAGGTGCTAGACTGATCGTAAGGGTTGGTCAAAACCAAAAATGAGCCCTGGTGAGGCCCTCAGAAGTCAGAGAAAAAAGGCTGATTAGGGGTAAAAAGGCTGTGATTACAGTGGTGGGGGAATGGTGGGGCTGTCGTGGCAGCTTTTTTTTTAGTGTGCTTGCTGAAGTTTCAGGTTTTTTAAAAAACTGTCTGTGCTGATATTTCAGTTTTTTTCCTGGCGTGTACGCTGTCTCATCAGAGTTATAATGAAGGGGTTGGCTGAAATCCCTGTAATGGAGATTCGCGTACGTGCCCTTAATGCCGGATGTCTAGGTGCACCGGTTCGACCGTCCCTCTGTCAATCACGCCGAAATGGCAAGATTCCTCGCCAACGCATTCGGGAGTGGCATCATTCCCGAACTTTCACTCCACTTCTATCTTCTGGCAAAGCTATCTTCGCGAGTGATTGGATGTTTGGGCAACCACATCTATTTGTGGCAAATGGAAAGTCAACAGCGCGGCAGCACGCATGCACGTTGCAGCAGTACAGCAACACAAAATGGTTGCCGCGCGACTAGGAAACCCCCCCACCTCACCCACCCCGAAGCTGCAACCAGGTACATGCATGATTCCAAGGGTCGCGTCGCCTTGCATCATGGCACGGTAAGCTTGCCAACCAAGCCCGCTTCACCAGCTCCTTCTTGCATAACCCTAGGTAGGTGCTGGACTCCCCCACCCTACACCCAACCTCGCTAGGGTTTCACTTCTCTTCATTCGCCTCTAGCACCAGGCAATTCTCGGCACGCTCTCTCAGTGCTCGGCACACTCTTTCTGTGCTCGGCTCGATTTCGTCTCTATTTTGCCATGGGTGGCCATGGCGCCGGCCTTTCAGACGATGAGGGTGACGCCGATTTAGACGACGCCGATAGCGACGCCATCAAAGAAGCCCGTACGGGGCTGGATCTTCTTCTTAGATCTTTAGGCTGCCAGATTCCACCTCCAGCGCCCACTGCACCCGGTCCGGTTCCTAGGGTGCCTGAGAACCCGGACGTGCCTTCAAGCCCGGATTCTATCCGGGCCGTCCCTCGTGCGCCGCCTGGTGTTTCCGACACTGTTCTCATCGCCACGTCAGCGTCGAAGTCGTCAGCACCGCGCACAATCAAGCTCAAGTAGCAAAAACTGAGTTTCTGGAAGTCATCATCAACCGTCCCAGTCTCGAAAGCTGTTGTCAACGAAACCACCGTGCACCCTGCTCTGAACATCAACGTTCAGGAGCTTGTTGATGCCATCTCTGCCGAGGCACTGGAGAAGTACAAATCTAAGTGGCTTGAGCGTTTCCCTTGGCTTGTACTAACTAAAACTGCTTGTGGTCTGCCTGCTTTCAAGTGCAGTCTCTGCACTAAGCACGCCGGTGTCAGGGGACGTTGTGGCAGGACAGGCAAAGGTGCGACCGACGTCCAGACGCAGGCGTTTCTCAAGCACGCCAGGACGAGAAAGCACAAGCTGGCACTGGAGAAGCAAGAGGCCCTGCTTGCTGCCGCATCTAAGCAGCCCCGCATCGACCAGCACCGTGCAGCGGTCGACGCGGAGAAGATTCGGGTCACGTCACTGCTTAACGCGCTTCTGTTTGTCAGCGATTGCGACGCACCCATAGGGACATGGGTGAAGCTGGTGCAGTATCTTGCGCGGAAGGGGGTCCAAGAGTTTCCTAAGAAAAGCTATGGGACGTACTATACCACGTGGGCTGTGATAACTTGTAAGGAATTTTCTCGATATTCCTTAGTGCGCCCTGCAACATCGCGTACAGCAGCAGCCGCTGTTCGCCCGTTACTGCTAACGGGGCTTCGCCGACTTTGCGCGCACTGTTTCACCAAACCTCGCACTGCTGGCCTGGCCGTGTCAGCCTACGCTTCGGGACTAGCCCGAGCCTCGCTTCCAGCATAGCACTAGCTAGCTCGCACGCACCGCGTTACCGTTTGCATGTTTCGCGTATGAATGTTCGCTCATGCCTTCGCTCACATTTTGTGCTCGTTTGACACCTTAGTGCAATTCTCGCTACTTCGATTCATTGCACCCGTAACACTTGGTTATCAGAGCCTCTTTCCTTTCGGACCGCGCATCTCCGCAGCCCAGGAAATCAACTTTTGATTTTCACTCGAAGGGACTCACGCACCTTAGCACCTAGGAGCCGCTGTCCTCGCGTTCTCTCGTAAACGCGTGCAGCCACGACTGCGCCTAGACTAAGACGAGCCGACGCCCTTTGGAATGGCCGAACATATCGACGTCACTAGCCTCACGCAAGACCGCCTGGACGAGCTGCTGCGACATCTGCACGAAAACTCCGAAGAAATCGCGGCATTAACGGCGGAACGTACCTCACTGCAAAATGACCTCGCACGAACACAATCCCAAGCACCTGGCACTCCGATTCAGGCCGCACCACAGGCATCGCAACACAGAAGTGTGGGGCAATCCGCGAGCGCCGCAAGTGATGGCGTCGTCTGCCATGACGGAGACGACGACCACAGTACGACACACCCCGACGCGACGAATGCGGCCAAGAATCAGCCTCGAGTCACTATTTCGGTGCCGGCCGGCGAATCAACTCTACCGTCGCCGATGCCGCTGAAGCCGCAGCGTCCGCCATGTTTCGATCCAAGTCAGCGGGGTGGTCCTACCGTTCAGGCGTGACTTTTCACGTTGAACGTTTTCTTCGACGCGAACTACGTCTCGGAGGATACGGCAAAGATTCGTTACGCCGTGTCGTTGCTGCGAGGACCCGCCATGGACTGGTGGCGTGTCATCGTCACGAAGCCGGTGGACTACGCGACTCTACCGACACGGGAAGGACAAACCGGACCCTGGGC